ATTATTATTATTATCATTATTATTATTATCATTATTACTATTACTATTACTACTATCACCATTTTACTTTTCGTCTCAGCCTTACTTTTGCTTTTACTATTACTCTTATTTCCACTCTTATCCTTACTCTTATTGTTACCAGTATTACTATTGTCAGATTGTTACTTAGTTTTCATCAGAAACCGTTAAATCTGATAATAGTTTTAATGGAAATATTTTTGTTAATTTTGTAAACACGGTGAAAGAAAAAAGTTTTTATTGCATATACTGTCCATTAGCTTAGCTGTTCTTCTAGTATTTTGATACAAAACAATTTCTTCACATATCCTCTTTCAGCTGTATTACTATCCATACTACTATTACTACTCTCCGGTAGTACCGTTAGCAAGTTCATCAGTAGCAACCAACCAAAATGTGTATACGACTAGTAGAATAACACAGCAAAAAAGCACAGCAGTATCCACAAATGGTCAGCCAAATTCACAGTATATATCTTATCAACAATCACCATCATCATTATTGTCATCAGCACCAACATATTCAACTAACCAGAACACCACCCTACTCGAGTTTGATACCTCTAATTATATGCTGAATGATACAAACTTAAACATGACATTTATTGATGAGCTAAGTGCCGCTGAAAATAATAGCTATGCACAAATAACGATTCCAAATCCATATTCACCATATGTGCCACAACAATTTGCAGACCAATCTCGCCTACAGACTAACGGTATTTCTAACATAGATGCTTTTCAATAATTAAACTTTTTTTTTGGCTGCTACTTTAGCAAGGAATTAGCAAAGAATGTGATAACTTAATTGTCTCATAGGTTCAGCCGAAATACAGAAAAGTTGAAAACGGATTGTTTTTGCCGTTTTTTGGCAAACGAATGCGGTCAGATAATTAAATATTAATCAACATTTATGCAGTTCCGTCTACATTTCTCTGCTTTTTCTTCACGCAATGAACTACAATTAAGTTAAGATTTCAACAAAAATAACAGTAGGAAATTTTCTTTTAGTTTTAAAATAAAGAAAAAAAACAATTAAAAAAATAATAACAGAAAAATTGATGTTTTGACTAATAACAAATTATACAAATCGCTTTTGCTTAACATTGTTTTAACATGTAACCTATAAGCTTATCAACGATTATTGATGCTAGATATCTCATTCTGGTTAAATCTGTACTTTTGTAATTTAAAAGCCTTATTTTAATATTGTCTAAAAATAAATCAGGAAATTTACCTTTGTTTTCAAAATTACAGCTGGTTTATCAGCTTCTAATAATGCAA